CCAAGCGCCAAATCCCTGAACCTTAAGACGCGAAGCTCTGCGCCACTGATGTCCGTCTGCCTAGAGGACTGAGCGTCCAAAAAACCATAAAGTCCGAACGCGCCCCATCAAAACTCTAAGCACACATGCAACACTGCTAAACAACATCGCACCATCACCTACCCCACAACCCCAAACCCTGAATCTCTCAACCCTAAATCTCTCAACCCTAAACCTCTAAACCCTAAACCCCTGAGCTCTAAACCCTAAACCTCTAAACCCTAAACCCTTCAACCCCAAACACCTCTCCACACCACCGGGCAGTCGGCGGATGGCTGTCGGAATCCTCCGAAGACTCCTCGGAAGCTCCGAAGTTTTCGGAAGCTTTCGGGTTTGGGATCTTCAGGGGTTTAGGGTGCAGGGTTTAAGGGTTTAGGATTTCGGGTATAAGCTTCGAGTTTGGGATCTTTAGGAGTTTAGGGTGCAAGTCGGGGGAATCAAACCGTAAACCCAAAGCCTCAGACCTCCAAACCCTAAACCCCTACCACTATATCTACATCTTTATGTGTGTATATATATATATTTATATATATATATATATATTTATTTATTTATTTATTTATTTATATATATATTTTTATTTATTTATTCTATAAGTACATACAATCGACTCATTTCTCGATCTTGCTCATTAATGCCTCCGCTTGTTTCTCGGCCTACTCAAGGTTCATACGACTCTGTCCGTCTGTGTGTATACCTACCTACCTATCTATGTTTCCGCAATAATGAACCACCCGTCAATCAATCAATCAATCAACCAATCAATCAATCAATCGATCAAACAATCAAACAATCAAACCATCAATCAATCAATCAATCAACCAACCAATCAATCAATCAATCAATCAACCAATCAATCAATCAATCAATCAATCAATCAATCAATCAATCAATCAATCAATCAATCAATCAATGAACCAATCAATCAATCAGTCAATAAATCAATCAATGAACCAATCAATCAATCAATCAATCAATCAATCAATCAATCAATCAATCAGTCAATCGAGCCAGCAAGCAAGCAATCATTCGATCTATCGATCTATCAATCTAGCCATCCATCTATCTAGCCGTCCATCCATCTATCCATCCATCCATCATCAAGCCATCTATCCTCCGTCCATCCGTCCATTCATCCCACCCGTTCCAGGCACTGTGCCCGCCCGTGTTTTACGTGAAAGCACATAAACCCATTGGGCAGCGAACTTACCATGAACATGTGTACTTCACTCATTCTCCATCCTCTTGTCACACGCAAACTGGCACCATCCGTCTCTCTCTCTCTCTCTCTCTCTCTCTCTCTCTCTCTCACAGTCCCCCAATCTATCTGTCTATCTGTCTATCTGTGTGTGTATATATATATATGACTATACATATATATATATATATGTATGTACATCTCTCACCTTCCCCAAAGAAAGACCGCTCCTCCTCAGAGGTCGAGTCCCTTGGATTAGCCATGGCGGCGAGACCCGAGACCTCGGATGTCTTCGCACGTTGGAGCTTCAGGCGTAAGGGGGTTTGGGGGTTTAGGGTTTTGGGATTTATATGGGTTTAGGGGGTTTAGGGGTGGGGGGTTTTGGGGTTTGGAGTTTTGGGGTTTAGGCGATTCGGGGTTTTGGGGTTTAGGGGTTTTGGGGGCACTTTGGGTTGGAGGGTTTCCGTCCGGCTTAAGAATGTTTTTGGGCTTAGAGGCGCGAAGTCTGGGGTCTGAGGGTGTAGGGGCCCAGAGCTTACGGGTGTTGGCTGAACTGCAAATCGACGGTGGATTCGGCGCGGCAGTTCTCGGACACAGTCGCGGCATTGAAAGGCTTCACGAGGAATTTTGCCCTTGAAAAGCAACGTGTACCTGTTGCCGAAAGGACCTACCTTTTGAGGGTTCGTTACTATGGTGTCTATATCAGGTAAGTCCTTTGGGCCACATGTACACATGATGGCGAACATTTACAAACTAGCGCCTCATCGGGACAAAACAGAGATTAAGTGCCTCGTCTGGGAGGCAAAGGGCTTCGGTGCCATTTTTGCCAGGGAACTGAACAAGGGTTCGTTGAGGGTTGCATAAGGAGGATTCATAAGGGTTTCGGGTTTAAGCATGTTAAAGCTTAGGGTGCAGAGTCCGGATATGCAGACGTGTTGTTGTCGAGGCTAAGAGGTAGCAATTTAAGTCTGCTTGGTTCAGGGTTTAGGGCTTAGGTGGAGCCCTTGTAGAACCTCAACCTTCAAGTGCACTTCCCGGATCAAGCCCGCTGTAGAGTTCGAAGCCCCAGGCCTTAACAACTCCCAAATGCCAAAGCCCTAACCCTTCATTCCCCTCCCTGTTTCAGAAGAAAAACAATAAGCCCCATGAACAGTCAAACAGACATCATACAAACCCAAACCCTGTTTTGAAACACCTTATGGCCTTGTCAGACATCACCCAGACCCTGTGTTGAAACTCCTTATGGCCTTGTCAGACATCTTGTAAATGCCGAGTGCCCAGCTTTGGTGGAGTCCAAATGTCGGCACGACAAGGAGGGACTCCAGGCAGCTCCGGCCAAAGGCTACGGAAAGCTCCCTTCGGTGGCTTGGGGGCACTAGCCAGAACAGCTTCGGGTTTGGGGCTTGGGGTTTGGGATTTAGGGTTTAGGGTGGAAGGTTTAGGGTTCAGGGCTTGGGGTTTGGGGTACCGCAGCGCGGCAGTGTTTGGTAACTTTGGCCAGGATCTCGCAGAGCCCTTGAGCTCAGTTTGACAACCCGAAGAGCCTCGGCCAGCCGAAGCCGGAAACAAAACGAACCGGACATCCACGACCCGCAACCCTTAAACCCTATGACCTCAGCGAACCCGTTAAACCCTAAACCCAAACTCTGAGCCCTCAGACCCTGTAAACTCCAAACCCTGCCCCCCGGCGTTTTCAGCTTCTGCGGCTGGTTCAGCGCAGCTACGAAAAGAGCCCGAATACTTCGATTCCGGTTTGTCGATGTATGGAAGCACAACTTTGTCTACATACTAAGGCTCCTGCATTGCAAGAATTGCAACTGCGATGAGAACGAACCAATGGACACCTGCATCTTTTCAGCTACTGTCTATCCGGACACGTTGACGCTCCCGTCGGGATCCCAACAGGCTCCCACGGTGCAATGTAGGTCCACCGACTGGCCAGCATTGGCAATCTCGTCGATTCCACGGAACTGGGTACTGCAGGACCGTTTAAGCCTCACTTCACCCCAAAACCCAGCTTGTAGGTCAGCATAGACCAAAACACAGAAAGGCGGGCGATCATCTGAAAACAGCTCCTTTCCTTCGATACCCGTTCCTGCATTTCGATGAAAGGTGTACAAGGCAGACATGAATACACAACATTGAAACAGAAGGAGTCAAAAGACTTTGAAGATGAGAGTAGGTGTCTCGAGCATCCTCTATGTGGCCTGCCGCACTAAGACCCGACAAAAGGTTTTCGGGTCGAAGAATTTTGCCTTACCCCAGGTGCGCAAGTTCTGCGATTATAGTCTTTTGTCGCCACTGTTCTTATATCTTCGGCAAATAGCACATTGCCGCTTTAAGTATTCTTATTGTCCCCTTCGGCCCTTCGCTGGTCCCTCGCGCTGCAGATGCCGCTCAGGGGGCTTGGAAGGCTTCACTGCTCACATGCGCACTTGATCCTGCGGAGAGCTCTACAAATCTCAACCGCTTGACGAAGATCCGAATTGAAGTCGTCGTCGTCGTCGTAGTGATGTCTAGAGCCGCGGGTAGCGCCGTTGGTGGCGGTACTGGCGGTTGTGGTTGCAGTGGTGGTAGCGGCGGTAGTGATGGTAGTGGTGGTAGTGACGGTAGTGGTAGTAGTGGTGGTAGCGGTAGTTGTGGTGGCAGTGGTAGCAGTGGCAGTAGTTGTCGCCACAGTCGTAGTACTGGTCGCAGTAGCAATAGATGTCGTAGTCACCGTCGTCGTAGTAGTCGTCAACGTAGTAGTAGTAGTAGTAGTAGTAGTAGTAGTAGTAGTAGTAGTAGTAGTAGTAGTAGTAGTAGTAGTAGTAGGAGTAGTAGTAGTAGTAGTAGTAGTAGTAGTAGTAGTAGTAGTAGTAGTAGTAGTAGTAGCAGTAGCAGTAGTAGTAGTAGTAGTAGTAGTAGTAGTAGTAGTAGTAGTAGTAGTAGTAGTAGTAGTAGTAGTAGTAGTAGTAGTAGTAGTAGTAGTAGTAGTAGTAGCAGTTATAGCAATAGTAGTAGGAGTAGTAGTAGTAGTCGTCGTCGTCGTCGTCGTAGTAGTAGTAGTAGCAGCAGTTATAGCAATAGTAGTAGGAGTAGCAGTAGTAGTAGTAGAACAAGCGAAGTGACCGGCGTTGCTGAAGGCTTTCTCGCTTGGGGCTGCGGCTGTAGGAAGTGAGCTTGACAGCTTTTCTGCCCTGAAATCAAACTTCATTGCAGCTTCTGAGCGTGGACATGCCAGAGTTCGAGAATCCCGGCTGGTGGCGGTCGAAGCTTCTAGGGCTCAGCACCCCCATCCCTCGCCCTCAAACCGAAACCTAAAACCTGTATTGGACACCCTAAGCCGTAAGCTACCTAAGTTTGAATGCTCACCCCGAAACCCGAAACCTGAAACCGTTAAGCCCTGGAACCCCCCCTCCACCGTACGCTTTGGGGGCTTGAGAGTCTCCCGGGTCTCAGTGCCTCTGAGCCTTCCTAAGTTCCCAAGCTCCGGGCTTCAAGGGTTCCGCAAACGGCGTTATATCAAACATAATTGCGCCTTGAGCTCGAGCTAAGATGAAGTCTTTCAACTCCATGCTCAACGAGCTCTCCCCCCCACGTCAGGTCCTAGTTGCGACGCTGGCCTGCCGGCAAGGCCAGAAGGCAAAGAGAAAGAAATAGTATACTATATTATATTATACTATACTATATTATGATATGCTATACTATAGTATACTATATTATACTATAGTATATTAAGGGCCAACGAACGCCCTCGGAATCTGCTCGGCTCCCGCCTTCCTCAGGAGCGAAGGAGCGCCGCGCAGTCTTCAACTCTTTCACGTTCTGCCCAGTAAAGCGCTGTCATGCCTGGGCCACGCACGCGGCAGGGGAAGACAAACCTCTCGTCGTTTGCGGGGGGCCAAGATGTGGCAGTGGCAGGTCAGCGTAGCTGGAGCGAGACATGGCCTCCCTCGAATTTGCCAGCGAGGGAAGAAGAAAATTCAGCAGAAGCTGCGGTCACAGAGAACATCACCATAACCCTAAACCCCCAAGCCCCTAAACTGATCTGCAGATTTCGATGCGCCTGCCACCTGCCCACATGCCCGGCCCTGAGTCGCGCTGGGCACCAGGCCTCGAATATCTTTCAGCCCCTGGCCACGGCTTTCAGTGAAGGCTCCGAGTTCAAAGAGGTTTCGGGGGGCCCCGGTTGAAGGTCTCGGCTCGGGCTGGATACAAAATTAGAATCGGGTCTTGGGACTCCCATTGGACCACAAGTGTAAGAAGGGAAGGGACCCACCAAATTAGATCAAACTAGTATAGGTAAGAAAAATACAAGGCTCGGAGCTTCTCCAAATCTATCTTCTGCAGGCAGTCATGCAATTCGGATGCTGAAGACGGCGTGCACGATGCCCGTCCGGGCCATGATGGATTCATGCACGTCGGCCTCCCTATGGTACTATACAACCCTATACAGACCCTATGAAAGCCTATACTTTCCAAGCCCTACTGGCCCTTGAACTCCCGAAGCCACCCGAAGGGGCGGGGCGCGCGCGCGCCTTGTCCGCGCCCGCCTTCAGCAGGAGCTCCACGCAGTCGGCGTGGCCGTTGCGTGCGGCCCAGTGGAGCGGCGTGTAACCTCGGCTTTCGGGCGGCGGCTTCGAGGGCGGCGGAGGGCGGCTTCGGCCTTCGGCCTCGGAAAAGACCCCGAAACAGCAGAGCTCTGCCCTCCCTTCTTCGTGCGTTTTTTTTCGAGGAGGTCACCGCTAGAAACAGCTCTGCAGCAGCCCCTCCCAGGTTCCGGGCCAGCGTCGTTCTTTGCGTCCTGGCTCAGGCTCAGGCTCAGCAGGGGACTCAAAGCTCCGAGGAGGGGGGTTTGGGAGGGCTTCGGTTGCTGCTCTTCCGCTGTTCTCCATCAGAGCTGATCAGAAGAAGGAGTCCGTTTGCTCATTCCGTAGAGCTTACAGAGCTTCTGCGAAAATGCCAGCCCGCTCCTCCCTTTCAGGAGGTGTGTGTGCTCCGCCGGCCGCCTTGTTCGAGCCGGCATCCAGGAGGAGCCGCACGCACGCCACGCTGCCGCCGCGTGCCGCACCGTGGAGAGCCGTCTCGCCTCGGGAAAGAAAGCTCCCAAGCTTCACCGGAGCGGCCAGTTCGGGTGGCCGAGTCGGCTCGAGGCTGCAGCTGCTCAGGGGAGAGCTCGGGCTCAGGAGGCCTTTGTCATTGTCCTGTCTCGACACTGCAGCGACAGTATATGCGAGGGCGTTCAAGGGACCAGTTTCGAAATTGAGGGGCGAAGGACTCCCCTTCCCAGGCAGGGGAGAGCTCCTCATTGCCTGAGACTTTGAAAGTCTCAGAGGGCGGTAGAGTCGGAAAAGACCCCGAGGCACAGCTCCCTCTAGAAACAGCAGAGCTCTGCCCTCCCTTCTTCGTGCGATTTTTTCGGGGAGGTCACCGCTAGAAACCGCTCTGCAGCAGCCCCTCCCAGGTTCCGGGCCCTTGTTGTGCATGGCGTCCTGGCTCAGGCTCAGGCTCAGCAGGGGACTCAGAGCTCCGAGGAGGGGAGGTTTGGGAGGGCTTCGGTTGCGTTCGGAATGCTACGATTATCACAGACTTGAGAGCCACCCGTTGGGACGAAAGCTCCGTAATGGACAGAGCGAGCAACAGAGGACTGGGAGAACTCTGCGTTCTGCATGTCGTGAGATGAGAAAAGCAGCAGCACTCACGTGACGACTTTAAACTTTATTCGATGATTCTTTGCCGCGGGTGGTAGTTTTTAAGAAAAGCGACTCTAGACGCGTGCCCAGACAATCCACTACGCAAATGAGGTGCAACGTGGCTGCCGAATCCAAAACATCCTGGACAATGAAGTGCACAGACTCGCAAGTAGCGTTGCCGCCGAATCCAAAATGTCCTATACAATGCAGTGCACACATGCCCATGAAAGAAACTACTGTCGTAAGAATCCGCGCCCAATATGAGGGAAGAATCTGGAGACCGTGTTGAAGCCAACATCACCTTCAAGTTAAGGAATCAAAAAGAAGCCCTGCAGCCAGAAGAGGCGCGTTTGCCAAAAGAGGCCATCGCAAGACACGAAATCTACCCCAAAAAGACCCGCCGCGGCAACCCCCACCACCCCCACCCACCCAGACCCCCATCTAGCTTTCGCGACAGAGCACGAACAAGGTCCAAGGCTGCTGTCGAATCCCAAGAAGCCTAGACAATCCAATGCAGAAAAAGGGTGCATTGCCTCGAACCCCCAAAGCCCTCAGCCTTCCTAGATTCTAGGCAAGGAAAACCGTTTGTTTCACCGGAGTCTTGTTTGATCGCACCTGCGCCGACACCTCGAAGCCCCAAAGCCGTCAACACCGAGCATTCCCAGGTGGTCCGTGTCGGTTGTTGGTTTGTTGTTTGCTGGGTGGGTTGGGATTTGCGCAGCCGCGGCTATGACTAACTGAGCCTGCAGGGCTCAAGGCAGCTCGAATCTTCCCTGCGGACGTTCTCAAGTGCAACGGATCCTTCGTTAAAGGCGCTCGTCGGTGTTTGCAAAACTCCTTCAGGTTCCTGCCAGGCTTCGAGCCTTGTCGACGCCAGCGCTGAGCAGCGCGGCCACGAAGTCCGCCCAGCCTCGCTGGATGACATCGTGGAGCGCCTCCTCACCTCGTGGCGCTGCTGCATTCAGTCACTTCAAGGCCCCTGCGTGCCATGCTCAAAGGCCCCAGCCTCTGCCGTGGCTCACCTCAGCGGACGCGGCATTTCACCTCTCCGGTGTGAGCCCCGGGGCCGGGCCAGGGCCCAGGCCGCAAAGGCGGCACAGGTGACCGGATCCACGAGGTAGAGCTCCAACTCCCTCGACTGAAGAAGCCAAAGGGGACGGCGATCAATAGAATCCACGCCAGGGAAGCGCTGAAGTCACGAGCGCTCCCATCAACGACAGACGGCAGCGAATCAAAGCCACGCAGAAAACCCTCAGTGGCTGGCCAGATGAAAACCCTCAAGATGAAGACAGCAGCGATCTTGCCACCGGAAACGACCTTCATCAAGCCCGATCTTTGCCCTCATGCAGGCAAATGTCCCCTCTCCGTGAGGCTCCGGCGAGGTTCACAAGCAGCATGCCGGAGTACTGCTCGAACACCACCATTGCAGCGATCGCCAGAATCTCGGCTCTGCACACTTTCGAGACTTCGGATCACCGCTTCACTGTTCAACACTTGTCGGAGCCTTCCTGTGGGTTCAGGCGTGGGCATGTGGGCGTCCAAGACTGGCAGCTCAGCTCCATTCACTTCACACACAGTGGAGAATACGGGGCGCGCTACACGCTATCATGAGTTTGAGTTCATGTGTGAAGATCCTGTGCAAGATACCCCCATACCTCGGAAAGCCAAGGCCAGGCAAACCTTATAATGGTGCATCATTTTTGATATCGCTTCGTCGCAATATCTCGAGAGCAAGCCTGCGAAGCTGAAGAGGCCCCTCAGCACTACCCGCCCCGAGGTGATCACATATGGTCGTGCCCCGATGACGCTACGAACAAGTCAACCTGACACTGCGTGTATGTCTCCAAGTGCCTGGAAACCACGTTTCTCCAGCACCGACAGTCAACAGCTGTCGAAGCTTCAGAGCCCCCTTGCCTCCAGCACCTTTGGGTTTCCATTCCCACTTTGCTGCACACTGCTGGCATGAGACTTGACTTACATGATCTTACGTGGCCTCCGCATTCGAGCACCAGACATCAGCGAGTCTCAAGTTAACACCTCAGGGCTTGTGTCACACCTGTGTAGACACGAGCGCATTCAACCTCATCTACCGTATATATACTGCCTTTACGATGGTCTTCACGCGACCTAGCTTCACATTTTAGGGGGGCAAGATCAGTGAGTCAGGGACCCTAATGCATCATGCAGGGATGGCATTTCCTCCCTACCTTCAGCCACAACAGCCTTCCCTCCCCTTCACAGTTGCAAGACGGAGCGCCCGGCGAAAGACCCAAGGCCGCGGCGGCTTGCGGCAAGTCTTCGCCCAAAGCTGTCCCTTTAATACAAGAAGCGAAGCGCGAGCAAAGAAAAGGATGCAATGTGGCGTCTCGGCTCCTCCGCTGAGCTCCAGGCACAAGCGCGAGGTTGTGCACTGGGCCACAAGCTTGGGCACCGCGAAGCCCATGGCCTACACCGTAGCGAGAGCTGGGACATGCGAGGTGCGAGACCATGCAGGAGGAAGGGCGCCTTCTCCCACATTGACTTTTCCTGCCACAGGCTCACCAGAAGCAACGCTATCACTGCCCGCCCGCGCTGGGTTGTCAGGCACTGCCCTGGGGGCGAGACCTTCACCGCTTGAGGCTGGCGCTCCTGCTGTCCCGTCGCCGCCTGGCACACGGCTGCCATGCTGCAAGTTCACGCCGCGCACAGCTCCAAATCCAGGAACACAAAGCTCCGGCTCCGTCCTTGCTCACTCGAAGGCGGGCAACCAACGCCGGCCAAAACTCAGCCGCCAGGTCCCTCCTAGCGAACGCAGCTGTGAAGCCCCGAGGCATCCGACAAGTTCCAGAACTCCAGGCGTGTCTCCGGTGTTTGGAGATGCAGCTTATGGCATAGATGGCGGTTTCGCAAGAAAGCCCCCTGGCTTCTATGAGGACTATGTTGAGAGGGGGAAACAAAACTGACCTGTCCCCTCCCCGGCGGAGATGCTTCGGGCATGTGTGGCAAAGTGCAATTTCCGCGCTCCTTGTCGTTTCGAACCGGAACCTTGCACAGGGAGCTGACATTGCACTCTCTGCATCCGACGACGCATCGTCACTTGCTAAGCTCCTGATCCGTGGATCGCCGTGGACAGAGGTAAGGAGCAGGCAAGAACGGCGCCGGCAGGAAGATGGTCAGGAGCGCGGCGTTCCCAACCCAAAAGCCTGGCGGAAAGTGCAAAACGTTGCACGAGACCTCCGATCGGCATCCCTGAAAGTAAGATCACGCTTGAACGGCTGTATTATATGGACACGCTTCGTGGTTGCAAAACCTGGGATTCCTCCACGGAGACTGGCCTGCCGTGCGCCTCCACGAGTCGTCAGGTTGGCAGACCGCGAGCTGAAACACGGCGCCAGCGAAAAGGCAATCCTGCCAGCGAGGACGGCCCAGGCCCCAATGCAAGGACACCTTGCCAACCTGGGGCCTTGGACCTTCCGAAAGCACAGGGAAGAGCACACGCAACAGGGTGGTCCGTCCTTTAACAGGTCGACCCTTGGCCCAAGAACGGGCAACACCTGAGCGTGGCATTCAGGTGCCCAGGCGTCGCAAGCATCCGCCACCAAGTTCTGAGGCCAGAGCGCTCATGACCATCGACATCGCTGGGTCCATAAGGTTGATCTGGCGCTTCATGATCGCCGCCTGCAGTGAGAAGGCTCAATGCGGCAGGCCTGCGGCAATGGTCCGGTTTTTGAGGAGGTCTCCTGCACCGCGCGGAAGAAGTACCCCAGCACATCCGTGGCAAGGACGACCTGAAACTCGCACGGCTCACGGAATCTCGCGCGAGGTGGTCGGCACCGGGCCCCGAGCCACCAGCCACATCCATATCACTTCCCAGGCCAGCCCCGCCCCGCCCAACATCAAGTTCTCCGCTTTGGACCAGGAGGTCAGCACCTCTGCACGGCCAATGCCAAGAAGGCAAGACGGGGCTGCTGACAAGGCCGCCGAGCAGGGCGCCAGCAAAAAGATGATGTTGCAGACATAGTAGACCTGAAACAAAACGGTTTGATGGGCTGCCATCCAGCATGTCAATGACGAGGCCCGCACTGCAAATATTGCCGTCTTGACGGGGCCCAGCTGCATCTCGAACTCCTCCTCTTCGTCCTGAGATGCCTTGCCTGCCGGGAGCGGGAGTGATTGAAGAGGGCACCAAGCGAAAGGCATCCCACGACACGGTGCCCAGCTCTCCTCCGCCCGCTTCGGCCCGGGATAAGAGACGGTCGTCTTCTTCTATTGACCTCAGTGAGCTCGGGCCTAGCTGCAGCCAGAACCAAGAAAATTAACAGAACAACTCAACCCCACAATCGTCTTGCATCGTAGAGGCTTCCAATTTCTGCTACCTGTGGCCTGTGGCCACCTCTTAGTGCGTGGCCCTGTCGAAGATCCCACGGATGCCAACAAGGACACCAGCGCGACTGGCACGGATGCCGCCACGACGGCCAGGCCTCAAGCAGGGCCGCCTCTATGGAAAGTGTGCAGTACTCGAGGTCCCCTGCTGCCCTCCACTCAGGCTGCACAAGCCGCATGGCTCACACAAATGTCCGCATCACGCATTCAAAGTGGCCACACTGCGAGATATACTGCCAACACACAGAGGGACCAAAGTTATGATATGCATTCTTTCGATGTCATTGCCAAGGTCCCGAATATTCCGGAGTCTGGTGGGTTGATCCTGACCCAAGCCTCGTGTTCATCATGTCTTCTCTGATGATGGACTCTTCTGACTCTGCACGTATTGCGAGAATTGCAGGCACACAGGGGGGTCAGACCTGGTTTCCGGAATTGATGCGCAGCTTCTTTGGGAGGGAGGCAGCCCTGCTCGCTGTCACACTGCATGGACCGCCGTCACTCACGGTACATGTCTACAGTCTATTTGACATCACACACACACACACACACTCACTCTTGCCTTCCTTGTGATCCGACATGCTCTGAACAGCAAAGCCCCCTGCGTCCTGAGGCAACCTGAGTGCCCGGGCCGACGGTTAGGACGCCGACGATGAGCGCATCGATTTGACGAGCCGTCATAGCCGCGTCGTCCGGCATCTCCAGGGCGGTGGGCAGCACCGCCTGCCCCCACTGAGGCCACGCTTTGATTGAAGACTTGGCTCTCAAAAATGGCCATTGAGAAAGACTCGCGAGGTGCCCAGGTGCCCTGTGCCCTGATGAGGCGTGGAAGCCTGAGGACCGTCCAACGGCTGCCAGCCGGGAACCCAGCGCATGCCCAGCTCCATCGCCACCAACCTGGCATGGGGAACGGCCCGAAAGAGCAAGCTTGATCCTGGTAGCCGGGTAGACCAAATAACTCAGTCGAAAGGAGTTCAACGGCGCCTTGGTGCACATGGGCCTTACTTTGGGCAACAGCTGGTAGACCCTCGTATGGAACTCAATGCAGAACAGAAGAGCAGCATTCTTCTGTTTTAAGTTCACTTCGAAAGCGGCTTGTCGCTCGAAACCGATGTTGACTGCCATCTCTTTTGCCCAAACCTTCGCCCAAAAAAACCTGCATTTAGCTATGCCACGTACAAAAGCCTCGCAAACACTCCCGAGCAACTCTGGCCTCGGGCGCAGGGCATCTGGCCTGGGTGGTTTGGTTTAGGGCCCGTTGTTGCAGGGCTCTTCTTCCGTCTTCGTAGGCGAAAACAGGATCAAAAGTTCAGATTTGCACGGCTTTTTTAAAGCAGCTTTCGAAACGACATGCTCTCCACAAAGTGTCCCATCCGTGGCACTTCAAGGTTGAGAAACGAACACGAGGAACCCGATGCTGCTAAATAGTCTCCTGGTCCCTGAGCGCCCCGCTTTGGCAAGGCTCCGGACATCGTCCCGATGTAGGGGATTGGGAGGTCACCCCCCCTGCAAGCACTGCAAGCAGGAGGTAGCCGATCCACACCCCTACAAGTAGCAAAATTCTCCTGGCTGTACCGTCCAGGGGCTCCGAACAACAACTGTCCGTGCATCGACCGACCACTGGCAATGAGAATGATGATCGTAAGCAGAAACAAAACAGATATATGCTGAAGACATCGATGCAGTACAGCAGACGGCGACGAAGCGGCTTTGCAGAGCCTGGAAGGTATTGCATGCGGAGCTCACGACGATTGGCAGCGAGCGTAAACCCCAGGTTGGGACGAATCATCGCAGAGACGAGGAAAGAGCAATGGCAATCATCATGTGCACAGTGACTACCACCAGCACTACCACCTCCACCAGCAGCGAAAGCAGCAGCAGAGCAGCATCCTCAGCAGCACCATCATCATCCCATCATCATCTCATCACCATCATCATCAGCATCATCAGCACCACCATCAGCAGCAGCAGCCTCAGTGGCAATAATCAATGCAGCTGAGACATGCATACGTATGTCTACTTCGGTCCTCAATAGACGGCGAATGAGGGGCAAATGCAGCTGAAACATGCATATGTCTGCTTCGGCAAAGGACGGCGGAGGAAGGGCAAGGCTTCGAAACGACGGGTCGTTCAAACCTGAGGCCGGAGCAATCGAGCCGTAGGGCAAGTTTTCACCATGACGACGGCAAGTTGCCGGCCCTGGCGCGCGCGATCGGAGGGACTGGCCCTGCCCCTGGGACCCTACTAATTATACTACCCATGCTACTCTCCAATTACGACGCTGGCACGGCCGATCAGGAGACGTTTCATCAAGTTTCCTCGTCAGCTTCCTGTCAACGCTGCTGGCACCCCCCCTTCTGATTGTCAGAATCCTCATCGTAATCCTCGCTGTCACAACAACCTCAGTAGAACCCTGAGGCCTTAACTCGGGCTCGGGGTTTAGGCATATTCAGAGGTTTATAGGGGATTCAGGTCTCCAAGATTTTAGGTTCTGTGGGGGCCTCTGCGAATCGAATTCTGGTCTGCGCTCGAGAGACTTTGGGCTCGTCACGAGCTCTGGCTCACAGCTCTTTCAAGCCTCCGTTTAGGGTTTAGGGTCTTTCCAGCTCTGAAACCCCCACATCCCAAAACTACAATAGCCCCGAAGTCCTTCCACACCAAACCCCAAAACCAACAAATCCCACGAATTCTTGGTGTTTCTTCTCTCGAAGGCCGACCCTCTGAGAACAGAAAACACCCAAAGACGCCAACAAACCGCCCATGAGACCCTTCCATAAACAAACGCCCTCACGCCTTGGGCTCAAGCTAACAGAGAAACCCCCCAACCCCTCAATCCCTCGACGCCCCAAAGCCCACGAAGGGCGGTGACCTTGCTGGCTTCCAGCACCGAATCTGCCGGCCTAGGGAGGCTTGGGGTTGAGGGTTGAAGGTTTCGGGTTTCATAGGGCTTAGGGCTTCTTGTAGGGTTTAGAGTCATGTGGGTTATTTTGAGTTTGGGGTGTTGGGGTCTTGGGGTGTGGAGGCTTTGAGTTTGGGTGGAGGATGGTGGAGGCTTTCGGTTTGGGCTTTGGGTTGATTGAAGAATTTCGGCGTACAGGGTTCAGGCTTGAAGCTTTTGGGCATCTGGCTGTAAGCTGTCGGTGCGGTTTCTTTATCTTGTGCGTGGGCAACGGAAGTCTTTAATTAAGGGTTCGCAGGGTTTTGTCTCACTGTTGCGGGTTGAAAAACTCTGTACGCATACGTCTTGTATAGACCAGTTGTTTGCCGATGGTCTGATTAAATTTCTGGTTAAGGGCTTGCAGTTTACTGCTTCCCAGCCTTGGGTTCAGGATTGCGTTTCTGTTCAAGCCTGCGAACCCTCGACCCCCAAACATCTCAACCCCTCAAACCGTCCATGACACGCAGCCATGACGGCTGGACTCACCATCGCAGGGGCTGGGACCCAGGGGATGCTGAAGACTGCATAGCTTGGGGTTTTGCGGGTTCGGGGACGACGTCTGAAGGTTCGGGCTGAAGGGCTCTCAAGTTGAAGGCTGGAGGTTCAGATTCCGCAGGTTTAGGGTTTAGGGTTTAGGGTTATGGAGTTCAGGTTGAGGCTTCAAACGGGTTCAGGGAGTTGCACTTCATACGCTTCTAGGTTTGCTCATGGATTCAGGGATTCTGATAAGTGTGCGGGTAGGAGTCTGTGATTTTGGTTGCAGACCACCACCGCCGAAAGACTACATACGAAACCTGAAACCCAAAACCACGACACACTGTGGAAATCCTAGCCAACCCCGAGGCAAGATTCGCTTGCGAACGCTTTGGCGTCTTGGGGGCTTAGGTTACACAGCATCTTTCTTGATGGAATGGATGGAGTTCCTCTGACCACTGACCACCGAAACAACATCCTAAAACCACAAACTACCCCAAAACTTAAATCCTAAACACTAACCCTCCGCCCCGACAAACACAAAACTCCCCGGGAAAGCCTGGAGAACCAAAGCACCCGAAACCCTAGACAACAGGGTTTAAAACAAAAACACACCAAAAAATAACCTAAAAACACAGCTGTACTTCAAACGCTGATCACTGACCTTATTAAAACAAAAGTACGGTAAAAAGTCGTGAATCCGGCTCCCCGGGTCCCTGGCTCAGAGGCCGTCAGGACCGCCAGAGCAGCCAAGATCCACAGGAAAGCCTTGGGAAGGGCTCTTTCCTGAAACTCTGAAAATTCCTGCAAGGGTTCTAGATAGGTGGCTCCTTGAATCAAGGGCTCCTCCAAGACTCTACGGGTTCCTTGCAGGGTTCTTCGAAGGCTCCGCTTCAGGCTTCCATAAAGAGGGTTCCTCTAAGACTCGAGTAAGTTGTCCATGCGAGGATTCAGGGAGGAAGTCCACCGAGGGTTCCTGCGAGGAGTCTGGAAGTCACAGAAGGATTCTAGGAAGAGCACTTAGGGGTTCTGTAAGGGTTCCTTTAAGAGCTCTCTATCGGGGGGTAAGGATTCTATAAACGGGTCTGACAGGGTGTGCCTGTGGGGTTTCGGGCCTTGGGAAATTGCGAGTCTAGAATTTCGCTCTTTGCATTTCTCCGTCGTTGGAAGCTTAGGTGTTGGGGCTGGGTTTTAGGTCTTACAGGGCCTTAATTGTGGCGTTACGGCTTCTTGTGGCACTATAACCCTAAACCCTAAACCCTAAACCCTATACCCTAAACCCTAAACCCTAAACCCTAAACCCGAAACCCTAAACCCTATAAGGCTTCGGCTTTTGAGTCTTGGGGCCCCTGAGTTTAGGGTTTAGGGGTGACCTGGTGGCGTTCAGCCTTTCGGAGTGAGAGCCCCCCGTTTTAAGCGCCTGGGTCTCGTAGTTCCTTTAAAGAAAGGGTTACTATAAAGGTTCCTTTAAAGGGTTCCTTTAAAGGGTTCCTTTAAAGGGTTCCTTTAAAGGGTTCTATTAAAGGGTTCCTTTAAAGGGTTCCTTTAAAGGGCTACTAGAAGGGTGCAGGGTACTATAAGGGGTCGTGTCTCAAACAATTTGACCTCTCAGGGTTTACGGTTTGGGTGGGAGCGGGCTGTGGGTTCAGGTTTCGCAATTTGGAGCATGGGCCGTGCACTGACATGAACGGTTAGGGGGTCATGGAAGGAGGGCGCAGGTGCAAAAAGGCCTTCCTTTACTGGCGCAAACGCTGTAAACTTACAAGTACAGAGTAAGTGCCTGAAGCCCTACACCGCGAACCAGCCTTAAATCCCAACACCCGAACCCGTGAAAGCTGCCCCAGAAACACCAAACCTACTGTAAACCCTAACCCCTCAACCCGAAACTACCCTAAACTCCAGACCTTCGGTTTACCCCTAAACCCTCAAGCCCTGAACCCGAAACCCTAAGCCTGAAACCCTAAACCCTAAAGCCTCAAGCCCCTCAACCCTAAACTCTAAACCTTCGGTTTACAAGCAGCATGCAGTCTCTGGACCGCCCCTGCCATGATGGAGCTTCTACCCGGCACCACTGCGACGAGTCTGGGCTTCCAAAGCCTTTTGCGTTCATTCCTTCACCTCAATCGGGTTCAAAAGCTAGGGTTCAGGATGCTTTTTGTAAGGGTTTAGGGTTTTCAGGGTTTGGGGTTTTAAGTGTCCTCTTGATGCGGCTTGAAGATCATGTAGAACGACCAACATGAGGGGTTCAGGTTCCAGGGTTGAAGTATGTGTAAGGGCGTTAATTTGGGGATAAGGCTCTTGTCCTCTATCCACACAAAAAGCCTGGCGACGAAAAAGCGGCTGCACCGTCAGGTCTTTTGCTGAGCCTTTCGAGCGATCTTCTTGTGCTGCCCTGAATGCAATTGCCACCCACATATAGTCTCCATTGTGCTTCTTTTCCTGTGTCACCCTAACATACAAGAAGGAATTGCAATGGAGACCAGCTCAGTTCAGGAGATTATGAGGAGCCCCAGAACAGCAAAACCAAGGTATCGGTGTGCCTCTGCCTGGATGCCTCGAATAGGTTCTTGCTACACTGCTAAACCATGCATTACAGGGCACACATTGCAACTTGAAAACAGCTCCCTCGCTATGATCCCTGCTGTGCTGAATAAACTTGAGTATGAGTATGTCCCTTTCATTCTGACATCATGTAGACCTCGACGTGACAAGTGGTTGCGAACGTGCATACCTGCCTCTTGAGGGCACTTTTCCCATGGGGCGTGATGTCCTCACTCTGAAGTGCAGGGTAGGTCTGCAACAAAGCGCTCAGAGCAGGAACCACCTCGAACAAAACTGTCTTCGATTACTGTGTGTCGCTGCAAACTATGGGTTCCGATTGGACGCAACTACCCCGAATTTCACAACGACTCAAATAGAATCCCATGCACTCCGGTTTGTCCCAATCCAAGATTTTCAAGCTTGGCTGTGGCACTGAAACCTGTACAGCACGTGAGAGAGGGTTTGTGACCTGGGAAACCTACGGAACCATAAAACCTTCACTCGAGCATGAGAGAATCAGCAAAGCTGCCTTTCGACAGGGAACCCCTAAAGCCTAAGCCCTGCGGGGGAACTCTCCGCAGGTTTCCTTGGCTCTCACCACGTCCGGCAAAGCCCCGACTGGCTTTGCGCGATGGCTACGCCAAGCTCTGCGTCTGCGAGTTTCAACGCTGCTGAGGGGGCCATCATGGGGCTTCAGCGCTCTGTATCACTGCTTCATAATGATTTGATAATGAGTTGAATCCTCTTTGTCCAAAATTATAATTAATGGGAACATGGCAGCCTCGCTATACCAACATCTATTCCAGTGATGACAGAAAGTGGTGGCCCGCTTTCAAAAGATCCCTCCAGCGCAACAGCCCCTGATCCGCAAACAAAGCCAATTACAGCTCGTTGAGGCAACCTCTGGTCTTCCCAGACAGCTGCACCCAGGGCAAAATCGACGTGTGCATCAAATTGAAACCAACAAGAAATGCAAACGCAAGTTGTGTGAGATTCCTGGTCTGTCTTCAGACAAGCGCGCAGAAACGCAGAAACCTTCATTGGAATGCGCAGGATATGCAAGAGGTAGCACTGGCCATCACGAAGCACCTGCCTTGTGAGTATGCTGACTTGCCAGCTTCTGTGTTTCTCCAGCACACACACCTAGCAAACAGCATGCTGAAATGCCGACATTGATTCCTGTATCAGGAAGGACGTCACCAGCATACTGATGGTTAGTAGGGAA